CACGGGCCTCCCGCCGGGGCCGGGCAGGGGGCCGGGGCCGCCGCATCGGCACCCGCGGCCGCTGCCTTTTAAAGGGGCAGCGATGTTATTCCCGCAGCCGGGGAGCCCCGCGCCCCCTCCCCGCCTCCCCGGGCAGGTGTGGGCAGCATCCTTCCTCCCTTAGTGATGGGGCTTCCCCGGCAGGTGTCTGTCTGTAGGTACGTGCAGCCGTCACATTCGCTACGAAGCACACAAACGCGCACACCCAGGTTTCATCTCGACATAACAAGGACATTTTTTACAGTGAGAACAACCATTCCGCACAACAACCTCCCCAGGGAAATGGTACAGCCCTCATCGCTGGAGATTTTCAAGCCGCCACTAGAGAGTGTGCCAGATCGTCTCACCCAGACTCCCCTTCCCCACACAAGGCTTGGCCAGGTGATCCTTTGCTGCTCTGTGATTCTTCCTTCCAAGGCAGACTGTGCCCTTTCCTGGTTCCTGTCCTGGCAGCTGGGACTCATACAAGCATGTCATCAGTTTGATCAGACTTGTTCCACGCCCTGCCTGGAGCAGGTCACTTGTCCCTCCACCTGAACACTCCCACAGGTGGAGAACCCACCACCACGCTGGGTAGTGGCACCACGTACTGCACTACTGCTACCACTACTTTTTCTCTCTATTTTCAGTGCACACCTCTGAAAGGAGTCAGGCTCCTCCTTCCCTGTAATGCCCACTTGGACCAGCAGCTCTTTCCCCCTTGTTTTACTCATCTAGGAGAAGCCTTCTCTGCCCACTCCGTGCACTTGCACAAACCGAGGCCATACAGGAGGTTTGCCCTGCACTGGCTCTCCAGTCACCTGCTGATGGTGGCTGTGCTCTGGCTGGAGGCAGCTCCACTCTTTTCCCTGTACCTTTTTGGAACAGGGCGGCCACTGTGGCCCGTGGGGGCTGTGAGGAGCAGGTGTCCCATCCCACCACCCTGGCTGGGCCCAAGTGCTGAGGCACCACACTCCTCGTGGCTGTGTTGCTGGGCAAAGAGGCACCAATGTCCCCACTGTGTGTATTGAAAGGTCAGTGGTTTCCTTCCCAAAGCCCCCTCCTTGCACTAACTGCAGCTTGCACATGCACAAGCTGCTGCAGCCAGCAATAAAGGCAGCAACTTGACATCATGGAGTTGAATTCCCTTGTTATCAGCTGTTTGTGGTGACTGCAAGCTCGTTAGCAGGCAGAGGTGGGGAAGGTCAGGTTTTTGCAGCTGAATACTAGCCATGTCTCCAGCTGCATGGAGGCTGCCCCTTGAGCCAGGAGAGAAGAAACAGCCCCAGCAGCTCTGGCAGCCAGTCCAAGAGCTCTTGTTGCTACCAGCTCCTGAACTGTCAGACAAAAGCCAGCACAGACAGGGCTCTGTCTGCTGCAGGCACAGTACAAACCCTCTCACGGGAGTCATTTCCCCCTGGTGTCCCTGCTGAAGTCCTGCAGTGGGTGAGCAACTGGAGAAGCTCTGCCACCAATACTTGTCCTCTTGAGGCTTTTAACATTTAAATCCCTTGTTTTGAGCATTAGCCTTCATGCCACAAGTTCTGTGTTTCTCTCTGTGACAAATCACATGGATTTTAACAAGGAAACCGAGGCACGGGAAAAGAACTGGAGGGAAATGCCAAGAATAGATTATACCTAGCCAAGGTGGGTGTATTGGAGTCAGCTGGTGACATTCAACCTAGGCTGCTGCTGATGCTGCTTCCATAATCCTGTAGCTGTAGCAGCGGGAAACCCGCAGAGGGAAAAGTCCCGGAAGGATGCAGAAAAGCAAATCAGTGTCATTCTGAAGAAAAGGGCACCCTAGCAGGGGTGCAGCATTCCAGGTTCAAAAGCTAGGAGGAAACTACAGCCACTGCAGGTATTACTTATGGCCTGTAGCTCAACTAAGTGATTTCGAAACCACACAGCAATCAATCACCTTGCCAAGTGAGTGAAACCTACAGTGATCCGCAAAGCAAGGGCAGGGACTAGACATCAGGAAGCCTTTCTAACTGCAAGGACACTGCTCTACCAGAACAGGCTGCCTTGGGAGCCCTCTAGGAACAAGCTAATGTCACCTAAGGCCAGCTTGGGCATGCTTATGTGTCAGCACAGATGCAATGGTGAGGTGACTTCCCGAAGTCACTTCACCCTGTGGGAGAGATTAGGGTGTGTGAGAGAGCAGCTCTCAGGTCCTGTGGCAGGATGAACACAAGATGCACACCTGGTCCCCACTGCAGTCATGGGGACACTCGTGCTCCCTTACAGACCTGCTCCTGGGACAGATGTGATGCTGGTGTGCTCCTGCTGATCCTACCTCCCACCTGCACACTGCCATCCCAATGGCAAAAAATCCCAGTGTCCCAGTCTGACAGTCCCAGTGTTGTGATCCGTGGTGCCAGGGGGCTGGAGCAGAATGATCCCTGCTGCAATTCAGAGGTACTGGGATTACCCCTGGAGCACTGGTCTAAGCTGGGGAATCCTCTGTGTGGGGGCTGCTGCCCACCTGAGGAAGCTGCTTGCTTCCCTAGGAGTGAAAGGCTCCTGCAAGAGGAGTGGAGTGATATGCAAGATGTTGCTTGAGTAACCAAAGTCTCTCCCCTGCTCCCCCACCCTTGCAGCCTTCAGTGTCAGAGGAGGAGTGGCAAAACCTTCAGCTGGGAAAAGCATTATGTGAGCACAGGGAAGCAAGGGGCACTTGCTGAGCAGAAGGCACAACTGTGCCCCCTCTCCCTGCCACCAGCTGGCTTCAAAGCACCAGGAGAAGCCTCTCTGCCCCTGGCCTGGCACAGCCACAGCTGGCCATGGATCACAGAGGCAGCATCATGGGACAGCCTGTCAAAAGCTGCATGGAGAGCTGCAAGGAGCAGCCACCTTGCTGCCCTATCCTTTGCTCCCAGCCCACACATCCAGTTCCCCACCAGTCTCTGGATCACAGGCTGATGGCAGCTGCTTCCCTTTTGCAGTGGGTTCTGCTGGCCTTCTGGGAGCGGCTGCCAACAGCAGCACACTTGGATCAGTGGCACTGAACATCAAGAGAAAGCCCCTGGCATTTCCAGCAGTATTATTATATTGAAAAAACTGGGTTTTCCCTCCACATATCTGTATCTTCATGGCTGTTTCAGACCTTTTCATGCAGAATCATAAAGGCTCAGCACAGCCCTGCATTGGTAATTTTTCCCTTTGGGTGCTTGCTCTCATGCTCTGAGGTATTTCCAAGAGAGGTATTTCTTTTTTAAATTTTTTTTTCATTCCTGCATTAACTGTTTTCCACAGTTCCTGGAAAATAAATGAGGCACTAAACTTGTATTAATATCTGCCTGGTTGTTTGCTGGGATCCATCTTGCTGAAACCAGAGTTTGCCACCCTGGATTTTCAAGCCACTAAAACAAGGCCAAACCCCAAGTCTGGTACTTTTGTTGCAACCATCCCTCCCAACACACCTGACTGCTGCCATTGGCGAGGTGCAGGTTGTGCCCCTTGCCCTGGTGGCTCCTGCTCCTTCCCAGCTGGCCTCCTGCCCAAAGACACCTCTGCTCCTCCTCTGAGCCCTCTTCTCAGCCTATCTCACTTCTTTTTTCATCCACTGGGGACTTCTTGTTGAAATTAAGGCTCTTTTCAGCCATACATGGTTTTATTCCTCATTCTTGATACATGCTCTCCTATCCACGAGGTATGGTCCTTGTCAGTGGATGGTTCCCTCTTGCAAACATCAGTCTATGCCTCCTTGCAGTTTCTGTCTGTCTGAGCCACTATTTCTGAAGAGCTGCTAAAATAGCCCATAATGAGGTCGTTTTTGTTTTTTTGGGACCAAAAAAATCCCCAATACCCATCTCTGTTTGGGTGTTGACCCCTGCACCAGCTGCCTGTTCCTGCCACAGGATTTGGTCATCAACCAGCTCTGCCCAGACCCCCCATCTCATCAAGGTCACTGATTGTCCCTGTCCAGCAGTCACCTTCGCAGCCCTTAGGCAGGGCTTGTCCTCTTGTTCCTTGTCAGCACTTTGCTGCTTGCTGTCGGGTTCCTGTGCCTGCCCACCTCTCCAGAGACTCACTGCTGGGCAGCTGGATGACTCCAGCCCCTGCTCCCCAGATCCTGTTTCCCCCTCTCCCATCACTCTCGGCTCTGCTGCGATCCAGTGAGCCAGCAGCTTGCTTTCACCTCACACTGCTCCACTGCCAGGCATTCCCCAGCTGCCTGGCCCTGCAGGGGTGACCAGGGCCAGCCCTTCAGCCTACAAACCGCAGCTGCTCTGTGGCACCGGCCCCGGGCAGCAGCACGGACCCCTCGTGCCTGTCCCAGCGCCCCTGACTCGCCACCCCCAGCCAGCCCCACATGATGCAATTAGCTGATGCTGACTGCTGGTCATTACTGATCTGCTGCTCCCCACGCCGCACACAGACCCGGCCACGCTGCTCCCTCTGGGCCTGACCGCTTCCATCAGGCACATCCTGCAGCCTTGTCACCCCCAGCTCGCTCTGGATGGCAATCAGCTTGGAAAGCTCCCTGGCCCTCGCCTTCAGCATCTGGGATTGAAAAGCCCCTCTCACAGCCATTGTTGTCACCACTTTCGGTTCTGCTCCTCGGGCAATCCTCCGTGTCCCATATAAACCATTTGGACATATTTTTAGTAGGCTTTTTTTCTGAGCATGATAAGCTTCCTCCTTTGCTGTGTTTATGAATAACTCATTGCTTCCCCTACGGCAGCCTCGCATTCCCCTCCCACTCCAGCAGACTCTCAGTGCACCCAGACATTTGTGTAAAGCAGCTCTGAGCTGTCCCCAGGGAAGGCACAGGGCTCGCTCCCAGAGCCTGAGCAAACCCTTACTGAGGGTCAAGTCTCAGTATTGCAGCACAGGGATGCAGAAACCCCTGAGTAAACTCTTTCAAAGGGGTAAAAGAGACTGTTTTTCCTCCCCCTCAAGGAAGGGCTGCAGCACTTGAGCTGCAAGTCCCTCCTGCCCCTTCCCCTCCCTGCCAAACTTCAGCCAAGGGCTGTCAATCTGCAGAGGAAAAAAATAAAAATAAAAATCCTGCTCTGAGCCCGATGGTGCTGTCAGCAGTGGAGAACTGGGATGGGTAAAGGGTAGAACCCAGCAACACACCCACAGTCTCTGTCTGCCTCACCTATTGCAGGCAGGAGGACCTTCCCGATTCCGGGCCCTCGCTATGGCTGTGCCTGCACGGATGCTCAGTGCTGGGTTTGCCCTTGGTTTTCCCTGCAGCATTATCCCTCCTCCCTTCAGCATACACAGCCCATGAGCCCCGACTGTCCCAGGGAAGTCTGGTCATAACATCCTGGAGCAGGAGGAGGCTGCAGTTGGAGCAGAGATATCGAGCAGCAGCCCCATACCTGGGAACGGACAACTTTTTGCTGGGAAGGTCACGAATTAGACCAAGGAGCACAGCAAGACACCTTCACCTCCCAAGGATGAGGTCTGCCTGTACTGTCCTGCCTGCAGTGAGGGATTCCAAACGACACAAATTCACTTTCTAATTTTAAACCTGCGACAAATTCTTGTGCCTTTCCTGTCCTCGCTGGGTCTTTATCTGTTTTGCAGAGGAAGTATTTCCTCTGAGGGACAGAATGATTCTTAAACCACTTGGCTGCTCCTCCAGCATTTGCATGCTTTAGAATGAAACACGTTGACAAAATGCAGAAACTCTCTGTTGAGAGGTATTAGTTCTTAGCTTAACTAATTAAGTTTTAAGTAGAATGAGTTGGAATGGGTTCGCAGAGTTACAATACTGTGTGATTTAGTATGTTTGCCCAGCTTTACTTGCCTAGAATCAGTAGCTGGATCTGCTGAAGCCTTGGGCCACGAGCTGTGAGTTTACACCTAGAGATGTTTTTGGCTGGAATTGACTTAATTCTCCTAGTAATTTTCCTAGTAGCTGGTGCAGCGCTGTGTTTTGTCTTTCTTATGAGAGGAGCATTGACAACACACTGATGCTGCTGTGGTTGTTGCTGAATAGTGTTTATCCCAAGCCTAGGGCTTTTTTATTTCCCCATGCTCTGCCAGCGAGCAGGTGCACCAGAAGTACAAACCAGAAGACAAGGAGACTCCAGCTGTCAGCAGAAGCTGTAACTCCACAAGATAAGAACAGTGTATGGCCTGCCTGCACAGACACAGAGAAAGAACCCAGTAAGATCTTAGAAGACCCCAGATCAAAAATCACCACTGGACCAAGAGGTGCAAGGAGAGTGTCTGAGGGGTGGGTACATGAGTTTTATGGGTATGATTTCCCCAGGGGTTTCTTTGTTCAGGGTCCCTCCCTACAGACACCCAGCTTGAGCTGACCTGGTGCTGTACCACTGAACTATTTATTTTTATAAAATCTGAGCCTGGGGCTTAGCTACAGAAAACCTAGGGTAGAGTCTGAAGGAGGAGGAGTCAGCCTTAGAGTGAGCATGTGTTTGTTTGAGTGAGGGGTCGAAAAGGGCACCTGTCAGCTTACTGGAGCTGCCCACTACAAAGAGACTCTGCTCCCAGCAGTTGAAAGTCTCAGGTGGGGTGTGTGTGATTCCTTGAGTGATGTGAGAATGCTCAGGCCATGGCTTTTCCTTTAACACCCTGCATATTTCCAAATCCAATGTAATTATCAATTTATCTCCACATTTCTGCCCCCATGGCCTTCTAGGGAAGTTCAAACAGTGGTGTGAACCCCATCAGGCTCTTGACAGCATGCTCCAAGATGGATGGGGGACCCAGTTGCAGCACTTGCACAGCCTTCCCAGCTCCCATCTTTATTCCACCTGCTGCCTGCTGGCATCAGAGCTACCTCCTTCATCCCTGCTTCAGGAGCCTCCTGGTTTCCAGACCTCCTAAAGAACAGCTCTAGCTAAAGCTAGCTAGCAAGCCAGAGAGAACACCTTGGGTGAGCAGAGGACAGCTCTCACCATGCCAGCCCAGCTGCATCCCCTGGTCCAGGGATGCATGTAGGGACAAGAGGCACAGCCCAGGTGGAACCTTTGGTGCCACCTTGCAAATGTCCTTGATTCCTGGGAATGCCTGTCAGGTGCCAGATGCTTGCTGGTCATCCTGCTCAAATGGGGCCATGCTCCCATTTGCACCCAAATCCTTGGGCTCATCCCCTGAGGAACAAACTCCAACCCCTACAGCACAGTGGGAAGCAAAATGCATGCTTTGAGATGCTTTTTTTGTCCCTCGAGTTTGGGTGGTTCAGAAAGGATCTGCACTGTGCTGGAGGAGAGGGCACTGCCAAGCAGAGGGGACTGGGGCCATGGCAGTAGGTTGCTTGAGAAAAGCATCACTCATCTGGGGATCTGGTGGTCCTGCATGTGGGCTGATGGTCCTGCCAGCCCCGCTGGCACACTCTGCCCATCCCTTTCCCTCTCCCCATCCCCATCACACTTACCCGGGTGGCCAGGCTCTCCTTGCAGTGCAGGCTGATTCCACACTCATCAGTGATCTCAGAGAGGTCTTCATCCTCAAATTCCTCAAGGCTGATGTCATGGGTGAGCCTGGAGGGAGTGCAGATGTCCTGGTCACCCACTGCCCCAGTGGTGGACAGGAGGGTGAGGGTGCCGTGGTGCCTGTGGGCTGGGAGCAGCACTGACACCCTGGGAAAGGCTCTCCCAGTCTCTGCCAGGAAGAAAGACCGGGAAGGCAGCTCCTTCCCAGAGGGGATAGGTCTGTCCACTTTGAATGGCTGGGCTTGGCATGGTCCATGGCTGTTGGGAGGCAGGAGGAGTGTGTCCCAAAGCAGTCCCTGCCTAACCAAAGACAGCAGGGACATGCAGGTTGAGAGAACATGGAACAGACAGTACAGCCAGCCCTATTACAGGAGGTTTGTGCTACTCTCACCATCCCAGGGAGCCTCTGCAAGTGTTCCAGCTGGGCACAGATACCCAACAGGGTTACAGGAAGTGGAAAGGCTGGGGGTCCTGACAGGGCACAGCTGGAGGATGGACCTGCTGGGACAGGTGACCACATTGAGACCCACAGAACTTAAAAGCACAGCAAACCCCTCAGCCATGGTACAATCAACCCCTGAGCTGCAGCTGGGAGGGGTGTCCCAGCCCAGCTGCCTGCAGTAAGAGGGGGCAGTGATTTCCCTCCGCACCAAAATCCCTCTCTAGGGTGACTGTGGGCATCCCACAGTGAACACTGATGCTGCTGATTTGGTCTGCAAGGCCTCAGGGGTCCCTTAGGGCTGTCAGCCACACAGCCTCATTACACCCCTTCAAAACAAGAGAGATCCTTTTAGCAGCTGAAAATGTACTGATGAGCCCCGGGGGAGCGGTGAGGTGCTCCTGGCCTCTGAGCATTAAAACATTTCAGCATGGTGGTACCTCAATGCTCTTCTCACTTATTCTGTTACCACGGGGGTAAATAAAAGAAACCAACTCAAAAGTCCTTGACCAACCTACTCAGGCCCCTGAGTTTTGTCTGGAGTGGCCACAGACACTGCTTTGCTTGCCACCATTTCCCTTTGCTCCCAGCTCATCTGGCTGGGAGACACTTGGGTGAAAGGGCTACGCCAAGCCCATCACCCCTCTCTGGCTTGGCCCCCAGGAGTGCAGTGAGAAAGGAACGAGAATGGTGTTCTGTGACCTGCAGAGCTCCCACTCTCACTTTAAGCATTGCTTGCACATCTTGGGGCTCCCCCCTGCAGTGGCACCGACCCAGTGAAGGGGTAACATCTCCTGTCCCAGCTCCTGGAGAGGGAAAAGAGCAGGAGAAGCCCATGGGGGAAGCAGCACTTTCTTTCTGTGTTTCTGAGGACCCCACCAGTAGTGGTCTCTTGGGGTGAAGACAACTGGGAGCAACCATACCCCTGGAGGCGGCCCCTGCAAGACACAGCAGCACTGCAAGGACACAGCCCTCAGCACAGGATGGGATGACTGGACCCCCCTTTGCCCACCTCCTCCTGCTGCTGCCCATGGGAGGGAGGCAACGCGGAGCAGGAGGCTCATGATGAGCCTTCAAAGCACAAATTGATTTCTTCTCCGGTTACACGGTCGACAGGGTGGGACATTATCCACTGCTAATGCTCGGGGCCTCCACCCGCCCTGCTGTGGGAGCGCAGTGAGCACTGCGGGGTCCCGGTGAGAGGCACAGCATTGCCCAGGGGCTGCCAGGGGCTCCCTGGCTCTGCAGGCTGACAGGGTGGCAGTGCCCCCCGCTCCAGGCTGGGGACAGGCAGCCCTGTCCATGCTGCTGGGATGGGGGGATGCTGAGCGGGATCCCGGCCCCGGCGCTGCCAGGGGCACAGCGGGAGGTGTCCAGACACCTTCTGCCACTCCGCTGCCTGGCTGGCACACAGCTCCCCGCACAGCCGGGAAAACTTCGGGCTCAACTGCGTGCCAAGTTTGCTCCTGTCCTGTGGCCATCACTCACGGAGAAGGGTGATGTGCCCAGGAGCAAGGGGCTCACTCCCCTGCATGCCCGCGGGACAGTCCCCCCTCCCCTAGGCCCAGCCGGTCCCCTACCATTTCTCCCACTGATCTTCCAGCCAGCTCTCCTCCTCGGTGCTCGACTCCATTTTCAAGGGCAGCTGCATTGAGGAGGACCCCCCCTTCACTGGGAGACGCACTCCCACACCAAAAAAAAATCCCAGACCTACTGCAGGGAGTAGTGAGGGAGATGACAGCCAGCCCTGGGTGCCCACTGCCTCTCCGCCTGCCCCGTCGCAGTCTGTGGCTGCCGGTGCTGCTCTGTATCCTCACTGCGCAACCTGGGGAAGCTCATTAAAAATAGATGGAATCAGCTGTCCTGGAGGGGAGAAAAAAATAAAAAGAAAATAACCTCCCCAGCTGAGCCAGCGCCAAGTCCCTGCACTCTGCTGGGGATGCTGACTGCCTCTGCCTGCCAGCCAGCCAGCCTGGCTCCTGGTCTTGCTCCAGCACTCGGCTCCTCAGCACCCACAGTGGGCACAGGGGATCTGCTAACCCCATGGTGGAAACCCGCAGCACCTGGCCTCCTCCTGCCCTTGCAGCAGCATTGCTGTCCCCACAGCAGGGGGACACAGACAGGAGCATCTGTCTGGCTCCTCAGCGGGTGGAGCGAGGCCGCTCACTGATGCAAAGGCCGGAGTTTCCAGCACAGCGTCATGGCCAGCTGCACTTCTGAGCAGCACTGTCCCTTCCCTGTCTGCTCCCAGCTAACCCCCAGACCCACTCCTGCCTCAGGCAGGATCATCCCTGGGCTTCCCCAACCTCTAACCCATGCTGAGGACCAGAGAAATACCTGGTGAGCTGCTCCCACCCCTCTTCTGCTGCTGAAGGAAATAGGGGTCTTTCCCAGGAGGGGCTATCAGGTGTTGCTGACAAACTGTGGCCTCAGATAATCCTCCACCACCCCCACGCCTCTCAGACCCACTCACTCCTTGCCCCATCAAGATGAAGCCAAAGTAGGTCTAGAAGAGGCACCCACCATGACTCTGATATGGGGACAGAGCATCACCCTCCCCACGAGCTGCACCCACTCTGATACACGGTGGGGTGGCACCCTCACTGCCACCCATCACAGCGCTGCTCTCCTGCCCCTCACTGACACCCACTCCAGGAGCTTCAAGTAATGGGTGCATCTCTCACCACCTGCCTGGGACCCAGTTTTCTCCTGGACACATTAAAGTGGGTGATGTCCACAGGAGCCCAGCTCAGGGCCTGGACTGCCCTGCTGAGCTGACCTGCTATAAGCTCTGTCCCTACCAGTGCCACACCGCTGGTGAGTGTCACTCGTGATACTGTGGCCATTGTCACTCAGCCCCACAAGAACAGCATCCAGGACTCCATTTTCCCGACCAGCTCTGCCTGGAGGCACCTCATCTGCTTGAAACCTCAATTAATGCAACGAATAAAGAAATCTCTATCTCCGTATTACTCGCGCCCTTTGCTCCTTTCACATGGATGCTCCAGGACTTCCTAGGAAATACAAGGAAGGCTCTCCATTACCTTCCTCTGCTCCCTGTGCTGGAAACACCCCTTCCTTCCTCTCTTGCTTCTCAAAGAGGCTAAAAATACCAGAAAAATGAAGGAGCTCTGAATCCTCTCAGCTACATTATTGGCAGTGAAAGTCTGAGCAGGACCTACATGTGTATTTTGGCCAAGTTCCTTTGCCAGTGGCCACGACATTACAGGTATGTGGGAGTGTCTCCATCGGTGAGGGCAGGAGAACCCTGTCCTTGCAGGTTATGAGTGCCTTTCTGAAGGGTGTGCCGAGAGGCACCTGGAGGTGGGCAGCCCTGCTGTGTGCATGAGAACTGATAAACTTGGGATTCTCAGGAACTGTGAGCAACAGTACACGCACGTGGGTGCATGAACAGAGGCAGATGTTACCTGCTCATGGCAGGAGCAGCTTGATCACAGTCCTAAGAGCAGCCTTATAATCAGCCTTATAATCTGGCTGCTGTGCCTGTCTTGACCCCATCCCCTGTCAGCCCACTGCCACTGCAGAGGATTTTCCGTGCAGGGGTTTGGCCAGGGCAACACGGTGTGATGAAGCTGGACGCTCCAACAAGCCCAGCTGCCCGAGCCATACTCTGCTGTTAGGTGCTGTGTGCAAGTCCTTTAACCAGCACTCCTGGAAAAAATAATACTAACCTATATTTGGCTGGCCCCTGTCTTTTTCTTCCATCTCAATGGCCACAGAGGCTGCTTTATTTGAACCGATGAGAAGACGCCTCTCTCCCTCCATCAGAGGAAGACAACCCTTTTGTCTCCCCTCTCAAGAAGACAGGTAGCCCCATTCTGACGCCCAGCTCATTCACTGCCTCCAAACAGGCTCTGCTGATAGCTCCAGATGAGCACGACAGACACATAAAACAAACCACAGTGCTGGAACTGATTTTTGCCCCAGCCTGAAGGTGCATCTTTGAACTTCCCGACAAGACGGAGAGAACTTCTTTCCCCAGAGACCCCCTCTCTTCCCAAAGGGCTGTGATTTCTGACAGGGGTCCCTGAGTAGTGGAGTAGTTTCCCCTCTCTCTTGACCTATGGAAATAATTCCCTAAGGATTCCTTCCCCTAGGTGCCTTCCTGCCCAGCAGCTAGGTGGATGCCCTTTGCTTTTATCCGGGAAAGCTGAAGGAGGTAGAGGGGATCAGTCGGTGACCCCCTCCTGGGTTCCAGTTACATTAGAGCCACAACCCTGGGGACAGTGGGGCAGGTAACATTGTGAGCTCTGCAGGGCTCTGCATCCAGCTGCACCCCAGTTGTGCCAGTCCTCCCTGCCCCTCTAATGCTGGGGAGAGGAACCCCTATCCTAGAGAGGCCCCAGAGAGCCCCTCACAGGGGAGCCTGCCACAGACCACTGGCAAAGCTCCTTGGCAGGGCAAGGAGCTGCAACAGTGCCTCAGAGAAAGATGTTAAAGAGCACCACTGAACTCAGACCGCACTGCAAGGCTTTGGGAAGCTTAAGGACAACAGGGAGGCTGGATGAAAATGACTTTTTTACTGCTGTCTCCTAAAATGTTGTTATTCTTGTCATGATGAACAGACACCTCTGGATGACCTCCTGGCTAAAGGAGGAATCACCTCACAATCCTTTTCCTCCACTTCTTCTCAAACAACACCAAACCATCACTGCCAGGCCACTATGCCAGTCTCTCCAGAGCTTCAGTCTGCTTGCTGGCCAGGACCAAGCCCCCTCTCAATTCAAGCCAACCGATCACCTAAGGCTTGGGCTGGCATGTCACCACTCAGAGCTGGGAGTGCAGCTGCATGTACCAAAGGGCAGAAATCTAAAACACCTCATCCTGCAGGCAGCAAGCAGGGGCAGAGGGCAGGGCTCATCTCACTGCCTGCCATGGTCTGAGCCTTCACCCTGAACTGCACTCATTGCTGCTGGGTCCAGCTCCTCTGCGGGGGACAGCCCCTTGCTGAGCCCTGCAGCAGGGATGCAGGACCTGGGACGTGCACAAACCAAGCTGTGACACGTAACCCAGCACGATACTCCCCGCCACAACATCGCCTCTGCTCTGCCAGACCCTGCCCCAGGCTCAGACACATCACTCCATTTTCTTCCACTTACACTCTGAGCTTGGTGCCTGGGGAAGATTTTGCACTCCTGCCTTGATTCCCCAGTTTTCCACCCAGCTGCACAGCCTCCTTCACGAGGTCAGTTCTTCCCTGGAGCAGGCTGGCAGCACACGGGGCTCCTTTTCCAAAGGTCTGAGGCACGGCAAGAAGCAGCAGCTCATTCCCCCTCCCAGGGCATGGCTGTTTGCTGGGGAGCAGGAGGGTGCCCAGGGGGCAGCCCCTACATCCAGGACAGCACCAGCTGGTAGGCCCAGGGCTGCTCGGCAGCTCAGCCTCTGGCCCCCGGCTCGGTGGCCAAGCCCCTTCTCCACGGTGGATGATTCCAGAGGCAGCGTTTAATCGCTCGCTTTGCAGGGTACACCAGCCATGTTGCAACAGCTCCCAGCAGCTCTGGCAGGCAGCGCTGCAATAGCAGGCAGCTGCCAAAGACCCGGAGCCACCAGCAAAGGGGGTCCAGAAGCAGAGCCCTTCCAATATTTATTGCCTGGACGCCACCTTTGCTTGACTGCACCCATCTGTTTCCTCACAGGGAGCCACGGGTTCCCCAGCCCCAGAGGCTGGGCCTGACAGAGGATGATCTTAGCTGTGGTCCCAAGTGGGGACCATTCCCTCCTTTCCGCCCAAAATCTCAGCACGCAAAGCAGCTGGGGCTATTCCCCCCCTTGCCAGGCACCCCTGGTAGCAGAGGCAAGCAGAGAGCAATGGCTGACGAGGGCACGGCTGCCAGGAGCAGCGAGCCTCCCCTGATGGCAAGTGAACACCGCACCTGCAGGCAGGGGCAGGGCTCCTCCCTTACCCACCCAGCACATCCCTGTCCCAGAGCTACCCTCAGCAGGCACCACGGGCTCCATCCCTGGCCTGGCCCAAGCCATCGGAAAGTCCCTGGCACAAGCCTCATTGGGTCTCAGAGAAGACACAGCCCCCTGCATCCCAAATCGATGGGAGCACTTGGTATTGCTTAGAGGATCAATTCTGGCACTCTCCCACCGTCTCGCTTGGGGTTCCTGTTTCACAGGGGCAGGAAGGAAGCAGAAGCACCTGGGATTTCTAGGAAAGGGCTAGAAAAAGGCTTTTTTTCGGGGAGGGGAGAGAGATGGAGCTTTTTTCTTCCATGAGGAAGAGGTGTTGGAAGAGGAGATACGAGAGGGAAGGGGGCGGCAGTGGGGGCCAAGCAGGGGGCTGGGAAGCTGCAGTGGTGTATCTGTGGGGTGAGGGCCAACATGGCTTGGGTGGGCGGGCTGAGCAGCCATGGGGGGCTG